AAATGCAATTTACACAAGTAATTTATGCTTTGAATCCTAAACTACCCAGACTTTAGCATTAATAGTAGCTACGCACGGACTCTCGTCACCTCGTGCGTACGTAGCCCCCGCAATTAGCAGTAATTATTCAATTTAATCCCTATGGGGTAATTTTCCCCTCACAAGATTAGACAAGAGACTTACCTCGTCTCAAAGTCCACTTTTCGATTATCGCGTCGCATAAAATTCTCGATTCGATGCCGAAAATTTCAAAACTATCCACAAGTTATATAAAATAATTAATATATGTTCAATAATTCGAAATTCATCTATTAAATAAATTACCCTATCCAAAATGGTAAAATTTCTAAAATTTACCCCGGGCCCACGTGCGCAGATTTCGAAAATTTTCGGATGGAAACGTTACCCATAATCTCAAGAACTCAAATATATAATTTCTACCAAATTCCATAACTATTTTCGTGGTTAAAATTCCATTTTTTTAAAATCTAGATTTTTCATCTAAACCCTTGATTTCTAAGATTTACTAGTTATAATCTATCAATAATCTATGTATTTAACTCAAAGGGTGTAGAATTAACTTACCTCAAAGTGCTAGGTGAAAACCCTCTTCCAAAAGCTCCAAGAATCGCCCAAGAGATGAAAGAAAAATGAGATAAATGGCCTAAGTCGCGCATTAAATGAGCTGGACATAGGCCTCTGATGTCGCATTTGCGACACCAGGTTCGCAAATGCGAGGGTCGCAAATGCGTCACAACTCTCGCAAATGCGAAGCTTGGCCTTCGGCTACTGGGGGTCACAAATGGGACCAAAGAGTCGCAAATGCGAATTCTGGTGGGATCGCAAATGCAGCAAACATGTCGCAAATGCGAACACTGCCTAGGTCGGGCTTCTTCACAATTGCGAAACCCTTCTCGCAAATGCGAGGTTCGCATTTGCGAACAATTTCTCGCATTTGCGAGACCTGCAACTGCTGCCAAGAAACACTAGAAAACTGATGTATTTTCATTCCTTCCGAACGTCTGAAACTCACCCGAGCCCTCGGGGCTCCACACTAATTATCCACACAAGTCTAATAACCTCATACAAACTCGCTCGAGCGATCAAAATTATAAAATAACATTAAAAATCAAGAATCGGACGCCAAAACGCATGAATTGACTTATGAATTCAAAAACTTCTAAAAAAACTTCTGCTCGTCTGATTCCTATCAAATTAACTCGGATTGACCTCAAAATTTGCACACAAATCATAAATGACATAACGGAGCTATGAAAATTTTCGGAACTGTATTCCGACTACGGTATCAAAAAGTCAACTCCCCGGTCAAACTTCCCAACTTAAATTCTTGTTTTAGCCATTTCAAGCCTAATTTCACTACGGACTTCCAAATAAAATTTCGATCACACTCCTAAGTCCAAAATTACCATACGAAGTTGTTGGAATCATCAAAATTCTATTTCGGGGTCGTTTGCACATAATTCGATATCCGGACACTATTTGAACTTAAATTTTTTTTAATTGTTTCATCAAAATTCCATATCTCGAACTAGGGACCTCAGAATTTGATTCCGGGCATACGCCCAAGTCTCAAATCACGATACGGGCCTACGAAAACTATCAAAATACTGATCCGAGTCCGTTTGCTCAAAATATTGAGCAAAGTCAAACTTGGTCTTTTAAAGCCATCTTAAATAACCAAATGTTCTGATTTCAACCCAAACACTTCCAAATCCCGAACCAACTATCCCCGCGATTCATATATTAATAAAAGCAAGTTCGGGGAGTTTTATTTTAAGGAACGGGTTTCTAAAAGTTAAAAATGACCGGTTGGGTTATTACACTGCATTTCTGTAAGAAGTTGTTTCCATAACTTGAACTTGTGATAGACTATTTTCACAACTTGAACCCATGACCTCCTGATCACATGACAACAATTTTACCAATTACGTCAAAACTCACCTTCAATATCTTGGATATAATACGGTCAACACAAAACATTTACATAACCAAATTGATTGCTTGATTATTGGTCAAATGTTATCTACTTTTTTATAACTATACGCGCCAATCTGCATAAATTTCAATTAATAATATTTGCTAATAGATATGGCATGACTCTATCTAGCTTATGTTAAAATGAGAATGTTGTAGTACTAAGTAAGAAAACAGAAATGTTATAGTATTTGCGTATATTTGTATGGATAGTATTGAACACGCAAAGATGGCCATGTACAATAGAAAGCGCGCTAGGAAATCGACATTTCATGTGGGACCAACTTTGATGTGGACCCCAGTAATGATAAAGGTCCCTATATTCCTTTGGCCACCGTTAGCTTTTCCAACAATTGGGTTAATAGGCCCCCACCAATCGACAATACTTTATACGGTTGAAATTCCTCTTTAAGTCGCTTTGGGACACGTGGTCAAAGCAGCCGCTCTATCCGTGGCACCAAGATAACGAATGTATTCGTGTGTGCTTCAGATCACGGAGGTTAAGGTGAGCCGTCGCCAAAAGAAATGGACTGCTGACGCAATAGTTAGGGGAAGCGATTATAGTAGGTTTGTGTACTCGCGAGAGTGGGGATGATTAGCTTATATGTGTGAATGACGTGGGTTTTCCGTTAGTTTAAAGGAGAGAGGTTTTTGTTTCCCGTTACGGCGAAGCGTCACGCCTATCAAGTTGCTTCAGAGAGGCATAGAGTAATTCCGAAAACAAGAGGAATGAATTTACAATTACGTCCTCGCCGTGGTTTATTAATTTGTTTTTTATTTCTTCAATTATTTATTTTTAGAATTAATAGCATGTATGACCAAGCTTTTTCCCGGGCCAAAAGTATATTTTTTCATAATTGAGATGTTTGGTCAAGCATTTTTGGAGAGAAAAAAGTAGTTTTGAATTTTTTTTCTTGCCAAAAATATCCTTAGTAAATACTATATATACCAAAACAACCTTACTTAGTTTAAACTATTAACTAATATATAATGACTTTTGGGGTGAACTTTCATATTTGTTATGAATTTTGACATATTTAAACCATCTTTAAAGAATAAAGTACTTTTCGATTTTACTTAAACAAGTTTTAAAAAACGTAATTATTGTCTTTAATAATTATTATTTATGTTTATTTATCTATTTATATGATAATAACTATTAAGTAAATTTGTTCATGTCCTTATTCATAATTTGATACTTAAAAGCAATTTTTAAAAAGTGGCCAAATATAAATTGTTGCTCAAAAGTATTTTTTCAAATTGATTAGTCAAACATAAATTATTTTTCTCAAAAAACACTCAAAATAACCTAATTTTTATAGCTTGGTCAAACAGGCTATAAGACTTTATAACATATAATACGTTATACAATGAGTTCCAACGGGAGAGGTGGAATTATAATTTGTTTGCGCTCCAAATATCTTTATACCTTAGTGGTTAACATTTTTCTCTTTACCAAATTGTTTACTTATGACTGAGTCAAAGAATAATTTAGGTATTTGAAACGATTCAAATTATATATAAAGTTTATAAGGTATTTATCCTTAATTAGATTATTATAGATAAGCTTTTCTAAATATGGACTACAGGGAAGAAGACCGATTAGCTGCAAGGATCTACCGATAATTCAAAAAGTACAATAGAGATTGAACCACACATTTAAACAATCATCACATTCAATAATTGACTTTGTAGTAAAATAGTTGAGGCTTCGAATATATGATTATTATAAATAGCATGACAAAGAGAAGAAAAAAATCGAAAAAAGAGAAAAAGAAGGAAAAGGGAAAGACTCATCACATGGGCCAATTCACCTCGAACAAGAGAAGACTAGAACAAGCAATAAATAAAGAAAAGAAAATGACGTTTCGCCAAATTAACTCCAAGATACCAAACGTGCTAAATTAATCTGTAGAATTATGTATATCTCACACAATTAAGGCCAAATCCTTTTGTTTCACGAAATGCATGCGAGTCAATTGTGAAAGTATTAGTGGCTACTTGCCGTTACTTTACGATATATTTAATTTTTGTTGTAACTACTCACTTAACTTACTCTTGATAAGTCAATTATAATTAATAGCAGTAATGTTGGGGATAGGAGAGCATTTGTGTGACTCATAAATATTGAGACATAGAAAGAAGGTTTTAAACCAACAAACAACGCTCGATACCTAACAAGTTGAGGCCAATTAAGATGAATCATCATCTTTATTCGTTCATATCGCTTATTTAAAGGTGTTTGATTTTAATTTTCCTACCTATTCTAATGAGATATTAATCTATAACAAGGCTTTAATATCATATCAAAAACTGGATCTAACGTATACAAATATACTAACATAATATATATCAACATATTGAAAATTCGATGCAGAATTAAATCTATGGCCAAAAAGTGACAAGTAGTGCTCAAATTCGAAAGTACAATTCAATTAGATACTTTTTATTTTCAATTTATTAAATTAAATAATAGTTCAAGATAAATTACGATATTTTATATATGATGATATTTGACTACATGTACAACTACAAAAATAAAATAAAAAATATTTTAGCATCACATGCTATATATGGAAGGCACAAATATTATTATTATATATTGTTTTTACAAATTAAATAAGAGATGGTAAGAGTTCCGCACCTTGATGCGTATTTATTCTACTTGTAAAAGATCAACTTTTATCCCAAATATGTATTCAGTCATTAATTATTAAGTAGTTTCTAAATACGAAATGTAATCAGTATTAGGAGTAATTCATAAGCCTAAGCACTGACGTAATTACCACAACGTTCCAAAAAGGAGGAACTAGCTAGGGTTAAAAACGTAAAAGAATTAATAGGAGTACCGTTGAGAGACAAAATAATGACGTGGCAGCCTTTCTGGATAAGAAACCCACTCATATTCCAACACGCCTTTTCTTCATTTTGCACGCACTTTTGCATTTCCACAAGCAAATTCAATTCTCGTCATCAATTTTTTTATAAATAAAAAAAGCACACACCAAAAAGCTCCCAAACAGTATATACAAAAAAGAAAAAAACTCTCTCTCTCTCTCTCTCTCTATTCGTTTCTCTTCACAAATCATCGCGACTTTTCTCGAAATTCAAATTTCAATTTCTCTTATAAGAGTTTTAAAAATCCATATATTTTCGAATTAAAACGTTGTAATATCCAATATCCATAGATCGAAAGCTGAAGTTGTAAAGAGTGATTTGATCGTTTGTTTCGAAGTAATTTTTCTTTTTCTTTTTTGGAATTATTGGGATATATAGGAGTTGTTTGATTGGAGGAGATATAGGAATATGGAAGTGGAGTCGCCGGAAAGAGGGAAGATAGGTGGAATAGCGATGGAAATTCCGGCGACTGACGGAGCAACGTTGTTGTCGCCGCCGAGGATTCCACCTAGGATTCTTCAAAAGCTGTCAGAGCCTAAGCCTAAAACTCCTTCTACTGCTGAAGAAATTGAAGCTAAGCTACGTGGCGCCGATCTTCGTCGACAGGTCTTTTTAACTTTTTCCGATAAAGCTGTACACAGTCGATAATAATTTTTTTCTTCTGTTTTTAGGACTTACACGGAATTAGTTAACTGATTCTTTAATTTAATTTTGAATATGTTGATTTCTAACTTGTAGGATCAGTTTTCTTCAAAGTCCTGGTTTTTGATTAAGTATTTACTTTCTTTCCTAAATAAAAATTTTTATGCAGTGGAAAGCTTCGCCTTTATAGTAATTTTATCTCGTCTATACGGTTGTTTGTTGAGTTAGGTAAGGGTATGCGATTCTTTCCTTTATGTTACAGTTCTTGTTAGGTCTTTGAAAAAAAAAAGACCATTTATTTTGAAATATATTCAATCAAGTAATCAACTAAATAAATACTCAAATCCCGAATTTGTTGAGATAAATAAAGTATTAAACTATTAATAAGAAATTATGTGTATTTTTGCAATATTGATGATCATTGTTCCACTTTTACCTTGATATTTTACTGTATGGATTTTAGTACTTCTTTGTTTTAGAATCTGTTCCCTGTTTGTCCCTTTTCATTTTTTGGGGTATGATACTTTAACAACTTTTATGGATGAAGAATTTATTTTAACAACTTTTCTTAGTTAACCACATGTAATTCCTGGTTAATTTTCTTAATTGTTGTGGTCCTAAAGGGCTTTTCATTAGCAGGAAGCATAAAGATGAAAACGTTACATGATAATTTTCTGTCATGCTTTCTTTTTAGGATAATCCTTTCATATTATGTCATGCTTCGTTTTTTGGATAATCCTGTCACTAAAACTTGCAATTTGGTATCAAGCAGAAATTCTATGAGTATCTGTCAAGCAAAGCCAGACCGAAGCCCAGAAGCCCCTCACGGTCTCCAACTCACGGAGAAGATCTTGGACAACGTCTTGAGGCTAAACTTCAGGCTGCCGAGGAGAAAAGGCAACTATCTTATTTCATATAGTTTTGTCCCTGAATCTAAACTTTTCATTTATTATTTGTTCTGAGCAGTTTTCTACTGAAATCCTATGGTACATATTTGTGCATGTAAGCAGCTTTATTTTTTAATTACGCCTTTCTACAGAGTAATTGGGTCATTTGACAATGCTCAGGGTTTTCGTTGAAAAATATAAAATGTTTTGCCATGTGATTCATCATAATTATGTAGAGCACTCTAAGTTAGTATTACACTGCTGGTCTTTTTAGGTTTCTCTGTAGGCCTTTTTCGGTTTGTCATTATAGCAATTTATGGGGCGGGCCCTGACATGTAACAGAATTATGTTCTCTTTGTTTGCCGGTGGTTTAAAGTAGTACTCCCATCATTTTTCGGACTTCCTTTGTTAATCACTGTCGGATGTGACTACTTGAGCTTTCTCTTTTCTGTTGATCGTTAAAGATCTCATTGAGCTTGTTTCTATCTCCATTTGTACTCATAACTACTACTTTTAAGCAAACTATTTTAGTCAAAATATCTTGTGTGCTGGCGTACATATACATCGGAATCTGGGGAATCCTCTATTGTGTTTTTCTGGGTTCAAATACTTATACTAGTGCATTTTATATCAATATGGTCTGAATTGAAGATTCTTCCGGAGGGAAACACAAACACATCCCGTACTCCTCAAGTACACTTGCCTAAAGAAAAGCAAAAAAGAGAAATGAAAAGCAAAAGCAGGGGAAATACTACTTTGATATGATGTATGCACATAATCTCTTTTCTTTACCTGATTAATACAGCTTGTGGAGTTAAAGAACTGATTGACTTCGGGCAACTATCCAAATGACTGTGCATGTGCTACTAAATATTGATCTTGTACAAGATAATGAGTAAAATGACTATTGTATGTTTATGTCTAGTAGGTTGTGCTGTGTGATTGTGCAAGCCATCCTGTTATTCGAATTCTAAGTTCTTTTTATACGCAGGATGAGCATTCTAGCGAAGGCTAAGTTGCGGCTTGCAAAATTAGATGAGTTGAGGCAGGCAGCTAAAACTGGAGCAGAAATGCGCTTCAGACAGGAACGAGCTGAACTGGGTACAAAGGTGGAGTTGCGTGTTCAGCAGGCTGAGGTAAATAGGATGCTTCTCCTAAAAGCTAATCGCCAAAGGAGGGCCACACTGAGGGAGAAGACATCTCAATCATTACTACGTCGAATGGCTCGTGAGAGCAAGTACAAAGAGCGGGTGCGTGCTGCAATTTATCAGAAGCGTGCAGCTGCTGAGAAGAAGAGGATGGGATTGCTGGAAGCCGAAAAGAGGAGGGCATGTGCTAGAGTCATGCAAGCGCGGACTGTTGCGAAGTCTGTTTCTCACCAGGAAGAGGTCAAAAGAAGAGAAATGAAGATTAAAATAGAAGACAAACTACAAAGGGTAACAACATATGCACTTGGTTCAAGTCAAATAAATTTTGATGATGTCCTATGCATAATGTGTGACAATATTTCTGTCGCAATGAACAGGCAAAGAGGCAAAGAGCAGAATACTTGATGCAGAGAGGAAAATCACCAAATTCCTTTCATGGCAGCTATGACAAGATTCATGACCAGGCTGACCTTCTTTCAAGGAAATTAGCAAGGTATGGAAGCAGCAAACCCTCTTTCATCGCACATGTTGTCTTACTATAAGTTAGCTCATTTTCCTGGTTGCATGTAATTACTGACAGTAAATGAGATATGTGGATCTTATAAGTGTTCTTTTGCAGGTGTTGGAAGCAGTTCCTTACACATGGAAAGACGACCTTCCATCTTGCAAAAGCTTATAATATGCTGAGTATTAATGAGAGATCAGCTAAGTTAATGCCATTTGAGCAGCTAGCAATGATGATTGAATCGTTTGGTACACTACAGACAGCTAAAGATTTGCTCGATAGGCTTGAGCTTCGCCTTAAATTGTTGCGTGATGTTGACAGTGCCGCAAGTACTTTTGGTTGGGGGGACATTGATCATCTTCTTAAACGAGTAGCTTCACCAAAAAGAAAGGTTACACCAAGGAGATCTCTCTGCAGTGGTGGTGTAAAAAAAACAGTATCCAACTCACCAGCAGCCAGAGCTCCAGTGAAGTTGTCGAGATATCCAGTTCGAATTGTGCTGTGTGCATATATGGTTCTAGGTCACCCTGATGCTGTGTTCAGTGGTAAAGGGGAGCGTGAGATTGCCCTGGCCAAATCGGCTGAAAAATTTGTCAGAGAGTTTGAACTACTGGTTAGGATAATTTTAAATGGCCCCACACAGACTTCTGATGGGCATTCTGATAGCGGTTTGGCAAGCCGCAAGACCTTCAAGTCACAACTCGCAAAGTTTGATTCAGCATGGTGCTCTTACTTGAATAGCTTTGTGGTGTGGAAGGTTAAAGATGCCCAGTCTTTAGAGGAGGATTTGGTTAGAGCTGCTTGCCAGCTTGAACTTTCTATGATTCAAAAATGCCGGATAACTCCTGAAGGCGATAGTGTTGCTCTTACTCATGATCTGAAGGCTATCCAGAAACAGGTTTTACCCCTAGCTTTTCTTTTTTCCTTAGTAGCACCGAAAAGTTGTTATTTCAATATTTTAGATTCTTAAGTTTGGTTCAGAGAACATTACTTCCATAAAAAATATTCATTCTTATCGAGCTTGGTTTTTGAGACTTATCATTTCTGTCATGTAGGTGACAGAAGATCAGAGACTCCTCAGAGAAAAGGTGCTTAATATTAGTGGAGATGCTGGTATTGAACGGATGGATGATGCGATTTCTGACACACGAAGCAAATACTTCGAAGCTAAAGAAAATGGGAGTCCTCTGAGCTCTCCAATTCTGCATTCAGCTCCAAGCCCAACTGCGCTCCCAAGTGCCTCTTCTTCTCTTGTTGGTACTAGTAAAGGAGAGAATTTGCTTGAGGTGAGGGATCAGAAGCCAAACCGTGTGGTGCGCTCCTTATTTAGGGATGAACCACATCTAAAAGTTGGTTCTTCATCCAATAACAGCACACAGTCATCCCGTAGTGATGAGGGATTGGAAATGGAGAATGAATTAATTGTGAATGAGAGTCTTCATGGGCAGCATCTTGAATTTGATGAGTCTCCAAAAGTTGCTGATAAATATTATAGTAGTATTGAGGTAGGTGCATTTCTTACATCTTGATTTACTAAACCGGAGCACAGTTTGGTTAGGCTCCTGAAACGAGAAGAGATATTAGAAATTTTAGTTTATTCTTCTGCTCTGATGACCTTTACAGGACAAAGTTAGAGAGACAATGGAGAAGGCTTTCTGGGATAGTGTCATGGAATCCATGAGAAAGGATGAACCTGGATACAACCGTGTTGTTGATCTGATGAGAGAAGCAAGAGATGTACTTTGTAGCTTGGCTCCTCAGAGCTGGAGACAAGAGATCAATGAAGCGATAGATATAGACATTCTCTCTCAGGTATCTGGTCATTAAGTTCATATCTCTGATTCTTTCACCTTATGGTATGAGCAAGCTTTTTTATCTGTCTATTAATTTGCCTTCTTTTTTAGTTGTTGATCTCAGGCAAACTGGATATGGATTATCTACAAAAGATCATGGATTTCACATTAGTCACTTTGCAGAAACTTTCCTCTCCTGCTAAAGAGGATGAGCTAAAAGCAAATTGTCAAAAGTTATTTAGAGAAATAGCTGATATATGTCAGGATGGGTCAGGGAATTCATTTATCCTGGCACTGGTTAGGGGTTTGCGTTTTATACTGGAAGAGATACAGGTAAAAATCTCTCGGTATCTTTCATTTGTTCCATGGTTTAACACATCACAGCTATAGACTTCGGTCAACTAACTTTGTGGATAACTGCAAGATGAGTATGTCTGTTGTGTCAAAGTAGAAAACTTTCCACTTAGATGATCAGGGACTGATACTGGTAATAATATAAACATATACTGAACTTTTTGTTTTCTTGGGATCCCTCCCCCCCCCCCCCCCCCCNGCATAAATCTCTAAGATAATAAAATTAGCATTTGTAATAGTCTAGATAGGTTCCTACTGCACATTCCAAAAGAGTTCTTTAGTGCGGGTATATTCTATTCTTATACAGAGTGTTGTCACACTGTCACAGTGTGGTGCTTGAATTCATCTTGAAAGATTCTGTGGGGTTATCTCTTGCCAATGATTCTCCTATCGTAATTGTTGTATCACTTTTGCTTAACAAACAAGTCTTTGGGGTAGAGATTTTCCGTCAGCTATGTCTTTGAGGATGATTGTGCTTACAGTTCTGCTATCTCTGTATTTTCTTAACCTGACATTCCTCTTCTTCTGTGCAGCTACTCAAACAAGAAATAAGCAAGGCAAGGATTAGAATGTTGGAACCAATTCTCAAGGGACCTGCAGCTTTTGATTATTTAAAGAAAGCTTTCACCAAGCGTTACGGTCTTCCTTCTGTGGCTATGACCGCCTTACCCTTAACAAGGCAGTGGCTTTTATCTGTCAAAGATTCCATGGACCAGGAATGGGATGAACACAAGGAGGCTCAATCAGGGCTGAAAGGCGGAGAGGGTCGTTTCCTTCCTTCTGCCACCCTTAGGACTGGAGGAAGCTTTTCAGTTAAAACATATAAAAACCATGCTTCACCTTTGACCTCTATAGGTTGGTTACCTCAGAGTTGGCCCTTTCCTTCCAAATGGCATCAGATGACTTTAGAGCATTAAAATGCCTAAACTGCCTGTTTTCTTTTCCTGACTACTGTCTGTCTTTTCTTTTCAGAAGCTACAGATGAATGCCAAGAATGCACGGGGGACAAGGTTGATTTATTGGTGAGGCTGGGTTTGTTAAAGTCGGTAAATGCAGTATCTGGTCTGACACAAGAAGGGTTGCCTGAAACTATGCAGCTGAACTTCTTTAGACTAAGGGTTGTTCAGGCAAAAATCCAAAAGATCATTGTAATAGCTACCAGGTAAATCTTATCTCCACTTCATTCACCTCCCCTCCCTCTGCAACAGGTAAAGAAAGAGGCCCTGAGATACAATAAATGCTCTCGTTTTTGGATATCTGTTATTTGACATTTGATGATTTACTTGTTGACTTGATTATGATTGTGCAGCATTCTAGTCCAAAGGCAAGTTCTCCTGAGTATGCAAATGGTATCGAGTGCAGCAGATATGGATAAAATTGTTCAGGGAAGTGTCAAAGCGCTTTCTGAGCTCCTCGACTCCAACAGTGATGCTGGGATTCAAGAGATCATAGAGACACTTGGCAAACCTTTAGAGCATGGCAACTATGGTACTGATGTGATGAAGCTTCAACAGATCAAGGAGATCATGGCAAGGATGTTATCCAAGAGCCTGCAAGCTGGGGATGCTATTTTTGTACGTATATCTCAGGCGACATATTTGGCTGGAAGAGGAGTTGTACTTGGGGGAACCGGAGGACCGGGAAGAGAATTGGCTGAAATGGCTCTGCGGCAGGTGGGAGCAACTGCTCTAATTGACGAGATTGTGGAAGCTGCCTCTGTATTGGTTATGGCAGCACGTGTGACAGTGAATGTTCATGGTCCTTGGTATGCACAGTTAGTAGATAGTATGTGAAGGTATTTTACATTCTTTTGTACATATCAGGGCATGTAGTTACTATTCTGTATCTCATCTAGTTGTGAAGCTAATAGTCTCCCTAGATTGAAGGTAATTGTTATTGCAGTAATGTGAATGGAAACCTAGAGAATGTTGATATTTGCTGAAATAAGGCAAACTGAAACGCTTGCTTGTATGTAAAACATTTAAGTTTGGCTAAGACAGGAGCCTAAAACAGAGCTCTCAAAAGTAGCTTCTGAAGTGCGTTCCTTCATCTAATTACCTATGCAAATAGCGTATTGCTGTCTGCGCCACACACACTGTTATTAAGTCAGTAATCTATTTTTCCATTCCATTCGGAAGTTCTTCTGTTGTGTTCTCTCACCGCTGCCCAGACGGTTGCATTTGGAATGATCCATTCCAGCCTGCTTCTCGTGTGGCACCTACTTCAACTATACAAAAGATTAAATGCTGTCCTATCCCGTACGTGTGTATGGTTAAAGGTGGTACTCCCTGCAGTCGAGGTGTGTATAAGTTGACATGGAAACCATCACTATTAAGAGGGGGAAAAAGGTTAGCAGTTGTAACCCGAGAAGGCCCAAGAAAGAGAACTAAAGAGAGACCATGCAAGGTATTCCCCATTTCCCCTAGAAGAAAAGAAATTCACAGTAGAGAGCAATCACGTCATGGTTATTTAGAGGCATTTCATCACAGGTCAGAACTTCTTCTGGACTCCATCAGTCCATCTCATTTGTGCTGCCATAGTATACTAGGTGCACTTGGACCACAGCTGTTCAGTACTCCTTTCAAACTGACTATAAAACGCTCCTACGTTAAAATTCATATTCAGACAACGCAAATTTGATCAGGGAGAGTGCTGTCGGAATTCGTAAGCCCCTTTGCCTTTGAGAGGTTTCCTTATGGAGAAACCTTGCACAATGTCCTGATGGGTTGTTGATGATTGACTTAATGCGGTGTTGTCGTCCTAACTCATTTCAAAAATGGCAAGGCAAACTTCCAGCACAGTGCAAACTGCAAACTTTGCTGTTGCTTTACTGGTTTTTGCAGTCAAGAATGTTTCATCTCCGTTTCCTTGGTGTTCTTTCCAAATTGATTGTGCAAAGAATTGCGAAATCACTTCTTCATCGTTGAAGAAATTGGAGGAAACGGAAACAGGCTTCAAGTATGCGCTTGCCTTGACGGGAAATTTCCTGATTTGCTGCTCTCATATGACTAACAGTGTTCTCAACAACACCTCAATAGCTTAAAAGTTAATTTTACTGATGATCATTGAATTATATTTTTTCACTTAAAAGTAATTAAACTTTATCATTGTCACTTAAAAATTATTTTGCCTCAAACATAACATATTTATAATTTTCTAGTGAAGTTAAAATACTATTGTGCCTTAAAAATGATTTTTAAGTGACAATGATAATGTTTAGTTATTTTTAAGTGACAAAAAATAGTTGAATGACTTTAGTGAAATTGAAAGATAGTTCAATAACCATCAATGAAATTAACCCCTTAAAACGATACACATTGCCTGAATATTTGAACAACTTTGCCCGATTTCCGGAAACATTATCCATAGGCAACCATTGTTTGTAACTCCCGACTATTATAATGCCTATCTATCGCTTTTGCTTTAATGCTAACGCAAGCTTTAGTAGAAAGTTTTCCTCTTTTTTTTCTTCTTTTCCCTTGGACATAATTAGTCGAAGTCTCTAGTTTTTTCCTTCTTTGATGTATCATTTGATCGCATTATTCCTTCGTTTGAGTTTCCTTTGGATTTTGTCAAAAACTATACTAGTACGCCTGTAATATAAATTTTTTGTCGCCCCTATTACATGCAACTCTACGTATTCAATAGCACTAATTTTTTCATGCTATGAATGTAAAAGCAGGTATAGATTAAAAGTTGTGTAGCACCGAAATAACTAAATAAACTCTAATGATACCAGATCCCTCCACAATGATACTGGGTATTTCGCATCAATGCAACCCAACTAACTGACAGAAATAATATAAGAAAACAAAAACTAGTACTACAAACAAACTCCTTAGAACTCGAGGAAATAGTGGCAAGAGCCTATAGAACAGGGCTTGTTCAAGCAAGGTCGTAAACTCGCAAGTAGTACAACACTCTAGCAGTTTTCTGATAGGTATATATTCTTATTTCAGGCTTTCGGGCATGATTCAACATGTGACAAAATGGAAAAGAGATTAACTAAATGAGTATACACTATACATATCTATCTGTACAGAATGGCAGGCAAACGTAAGGCAAGACCGTCTCAAACTTGACAAAGCACACTTCGAAGACATCGAAAACCCACAAAAGGAGAGCAAGATCTTTGAAAATCCAAAATCTTCAAGCTCCACAATGAGTTGACTACAAGTGTCTGCTTCATCACTTGGCAGCTGTTAATTAGCAGCAAAATCTGCAGCAGCCATGTCCCTAACATGCCGAAAACGCCTTCGTCGAAGGTAAAGTCCAACCAAATATAACACTGACGAAAGTGCAATGGCAGAATAATCAAAGACATCAATGACATTTTGATGACCTGCAGTGAGATGACAATAAACTTAAGTTAAACGAAAGAATATAACTGGAAAAGGCAAACACATCTTGAGTTCTTCGCCAATAAAAACACCAATTAGCACCCAGGCATGCAGGGCAGGATGGAGAAAGAAAAGCTCAGCGAAGCCAAGCTCTCATAGCAAATAAATAAAGGAGAAAGGTGTATTAGTAAGACACAAGAATATGCATATTCTCAGCTCGTCTTCACATGCATTTCAGTAGCACCTCTCCCAGTAGTGCCACAGAGATTCATAGTTTATATTTGTACTAAAAGACCAAGACTACATCAAATTGCTTAAGTCTTATTGTTCTTCTGAATCTACATCCATCAAGTTTAACTAGAAGATGTGAGTACCTATTCTGAGAAAATCAAAGGGGCTGAGTGTGTAAAGGAGTCCCAGGAACATCTGCAAGAAATTATCTGCTTCAGCGGATAAGTAACGAAATGAGGTCACTACAATATATTGAAGGATAAAATGGCAAAGTAGATAAAGATAGTTGATCCGAAAAGAAACCTATAACAACCATTAAGGCCAGAAATTTATGAGGCTTCAGTGTTCACTTTTGAAATGTTTGAGGAAAAAAATTGAGACTGTAGAGCTATAAAATGTAAATACTACAGGTAGCTGACTGAAGTAGATTGCATTATGCATAGCAGTCAATGCATTTAGCTGTCAGATGAACTTACAGCAAAAATTCGCAATTTGTTCAAATGAGCACCAGGCCTATCAGGATTCATCATTTCATTAAACACTCTTTTCATGTAAAAGGGCAGACCAAGCACCTTCTGCAGAAAATAGAAAGAAAAGGATTAAATATAAAAGAAAACATGGTGTTCTGCTATTACTTGATGGTAAACCAGTAATCATGTCCGCAGAAAGTGCAGCACTAGAAACCATGAGAAAATGTGGCTCTCTGCTATTATTGAATGATCACCAGTACGAAGGCAGCACAAAATCAGATCAGTTCAACTAATATGACAAACATTGTCTAATTTGCATAATCTCTTGCTGGATTCGGGGAAATCACATACTAATGACCTTTTCTTTTCAAGCACATAATCTTGAACTTGAAAGTAATGGATTCAGCAAAAATATATTCTGTTTGAAAATACAAAAGGACAATGCACAAATAGATACCAATCCAAATTTGCAAGTCTCGTAACATAGAGAGATAACATCCAGAAAGATAGTCCAATCGGCACTTTGAAATATAAGGATAATTCCATCCATGCAATCTCAACACATGATAGAGTAACATACGAGTCCAACGCACCAGCATGAGGCCATACGTGCCACCCACAAAAAGGCGATTATACTTTCTAACTTTTTTTAAGACCTCAATTACTTCAGCATCCTGCTGACTGTACAATGATGCCTCAGGTGTCAAATCAGTAATCTTCCTCGAACACATGGGGCAGTTACAAGGCTGAAGTGCGGCACCATAGTTCCAGTACTGCAAAATGCAACCTCCTACACATGGAGAAACCAATTGTAAAGAATATGTTAAAAAAGAAGTATTGCGAAAAGCTTGACCGAAATAACTTCAAGACAAGCAACTTGGTGGTAGACTGGTCAAGACGTGGATTTTCACATTATCAACAAATAGGCAGTCAAGAGTGCAGTTACTTTTTCTCTAACCAACATCTAAACAACCAACCCCAAACACACAGAGCACATCACAGGCTTGATACATCACCCAAGAGGGTAGGAAACCAAGGTTAGTAAAGTTATGAGATTACAGATCTCAACAATGCTCAAGAAGATTCAAATATCATCCTAATCAATATTTGCTTACTACACTTGCATCACATTATCATTTCCTTCTCCTCCCTTAAACAATGACAGAAGAAGGGATTCCCAAATAAAATAGTGGATTTAAACCCTCATATATTTCAGATTTTGAACAAATAACAGAAAAAAAAAAACGTAGAATGATTTAAGGAAAATGATCTGCATCTTTAAAGCCTCCTCATGAACCAAAAAATAATAGGATTAATCTGGCTTCCAACTATATATATATTTTTTTGATACGTAGTAAGAAATTTATTATAGAGAAAACAGCACTAAGGTAATGCTGCAAAACATAGTTACAAATAGTGCAATTCCTCGATTGTATCTAACATGGCAACTACGTCCTTCACAAGAGCTAGGTTGAACTATATATATGTGATGCTTTTACATCCTGTACCGTCACTTTCCTAGGCAAGTTGCTAAAATCAAAATGTAGAGTGAAACGACAACTAGCACTACCCAGTAATTAAGAAATTTCAGAAAATAGCGAAGAACATCCGTCTGTTCCATGTAACCCTAATTCATTCCCAATATAACTGCACAAAATCGATTTCATGGAAAACCAAATCATATCCTTGAGAGATATTGTAATTAAACAATCACAATAAACTGGAAAATGAACCAGCGATTTTTAAGACTAGCTAAATTTTATTACCGCAGTACCAGTGGCCACAGGGACCTCGGCAAGGAACCACAAAATTGCTAAAGCAGATTGGACAACAATCGTCAGTCGGAGGTTTTTCCGTCCTCATAAACGCATTATCCGTCTCAACAACCACAAGGCTCTTCGAAGATGCACCATCCGACTCCCCACGGTTCTCGTCCTCAATTGTCCGTCCATGATTGCCGTCCTGCTCATCCTCAATCTCCTCGGCCACTGAAAACGACGCCGTAGTGTCCACCGAATCCTCACTCTCCGGAGATTCGTATCCAATTTCTTCCTCTTCTTCGTCCTTATCAGAGCTCATCATAGCGGAGGAAGAGGCCCCCGCCGCTTCCTCCTCTTGTATGTCGCCGGATTCAGGAGCTAATTCAGAAAGCGTAGAAGGAGAAATTGTGAGGTTGAGGTCAGTGTTAGGGTTTTGGTTGTGGTGACGACGACGATTTCGTAGACGAAGACGATTCAGGAAGAACTTCATGTTTTCTTCGTGATAACTGAAAATAATGGGAAAATGGAAATGGAAACATTTCAGTTTTGAATTTGTTTTTATATGCGGAAATGACGATGACGTGCCTGAAAGTTTATCCAAAAATCAGCTCGCTCGCTACCTCACTAGTTATTTCGGGGTAGCAAAAAATTAATGAGGGATGAATTTTAATAGAAAGATTATTAATATAAGAATTGTAAGAAACGTTAATCTTGCATAATTTATTAATCATGAATAATACTCAATATATATGATCTGTTTGTCTTTTAAAAAACTATTTAGTATTTTAAATGATTTAATCTATATATTATTTTTTTTTATATTCTTATTTCACTTTTGATTCCGTATAAAATAATATTATATAAATTAATACACAACTTTATTAGGTAAAATATGTTATGGCACATGGCCACCCAAGAAGGGGACACGTGGAACCTAAGTCAGAAAGACGAAAAACTAGGCGTAGATATCCTGTGTGTCATCGGAAAAGATAACGTTCGTGAAGGCATTGAATACTCTGCGCCTGTTGCGACCAAACACACTCACACAAGTATACGTGGCCGTCAAGTAATAGAGTAGTGAATAAAGTATCGTTCTCACGAAGACTTATGATTAACTTTTGAC